CTAAGAGAAACAGAATAACAAATTCTTCAGATAAGCATTAAGCTCTCCAAATTCCTAAAACTACAACATTTTTTCTCTATAGAGGAACCACAGTTCTTTATCAACATAAACCAGATTAAAATGCACTCTGAAGACTCACATGCATGTGTGTAAGCATAAACACCTTCACCCCTCCACCCCGTCACACATACTTATGACTGGTTTTACTTGTAAGTATTGAGTAATTGTTTGGAGCATCAGGTCATAATTTGCTAGTGTGGTGTTTATGCAGGTATTTGAGTGTCCATGTAATCTGATTGAACTCTTCCTTGCATAGGCACTAAATTTCTGGTACAGCTTGGTTGTAGTGAGTGTAGTGTGCACTGACTGAATTATATTCCTTCTGTTCCACAGAGCTCTAGATGTCTCAGTTTCTGTATGTCTAAGTCTGAAACATTTTGACATTCTTTGAAGGAAGGATACTTCAAAAATGTTTGATATACAATTCCACTCCTGAATCCTCTTTCAAATGTGTTTCTTCTAAAGCTAACCTTACTTGACTGTTTCCCACACCTAACTTTGTACATGTCAGTGTAAATCTCATGATATGCATGTAAAATATATGTGCATGTATAATATAACCAAAAGGAACTAGGTAGAATTTAATAATAGTAATATAAATAGAAAAATAATGATGTGTGTGTGTGTGTTGAAATTTGTCCTGGCTATTACTACATGGCACTATTCATGTTAGAGAATGGATGCCATGTTACATTTATTGTGAGTGTTTAACAAGCAGTAAGTTAAAATGTGAATCTGGATTACATTTCTGTATGAAAAAATAAGTCACAGAAGGGGAGCTACCAATTAGAATCACCTTGAGGAGATTTCTTCCTAACATTGTGTCAGAAGATAGGTTTTTCTACATTGGTCAAGGTTATAAAGTTCTGTCCACTGTTAGGAATCTACAGAAGCCCAGGGCTCTTGTCCTCTAGGGCATATGGCTCTGTTGCAGGTTCATAGGTCTGGCGCTTTGCAGGAGCTGGACTTTTCGTTTCCTCTATGGTTGGTTGTAATCCTCAGGACTCATTTCTTAGCTCTTCAGAAATGATATGAAACATAAGCCAGTCCTTTTCTCTATTTGCCATCATATGCACTGATTCAGTACAATGGCTACCAAAATCTGCTTGCAGATCCACCACCACTCAAAGGAAAACATTAAACCCTTTAAATCCCCCAGTATTTGTCCTTTCTAGTTTGTCCAGGTACTGTATTTTGTCCCCTTCTTCCTTTATTTCCCACACAGCTGCAAAGCTGTTTTGAGACAATAGCAAACTTTAATTCAAGCTGAAAGTTGATACAGATCTTTGAAACTAGGTCACAGGGGAGTGAAGATTTCTGTCTTTCAGGGGGATGCAGAGGGATGAGATTTTAACAGACATCATTCTGATGCCCATAAAATATACATTGCTATTGGAAATATGAGTGATTCTTTGTGTTAAGAGAGTAACTTATTATCAAAAAGCAAGTTCTTTTCCCTAATATGTAGTGACTACAATATTTTTGTAACTCTTCTTTCTGCTCTCCAAAGTCTATAAATAAAAGGAAAAATTCTGAAGTGCTCTATGGTTTCAAACCTCCTTTTTTTTTGAAAAAAAAAAAAATAAAAAGAACTGTACAGACAGTCAGTATTAGGAAGTCATGAATAATAAGTTTGTGATTGTGGAATGAAATAGCCCATATGTGATTATTGTATATAAGGTAAAAGCATAATGAAACAAAGGGAACTGAACAGCTTGGATTATTTAAGTATATTGCAGACAAACCTTGTGAAGGCTTTCCTGAAAGGCCTAAGAAAGTCTATATTCACCTCCAAACATTTTCTGTAAGTTTTCCTCCTTCATGTGCAAAAAAAAGTAACCCAATTAACTGCTGAAGTACTGTCTCCTCTTCTACAGGATACCAACTTCAAAAGCAGCATCTATGTTTCCATGTCTCGAGCTGTTAATAGTTAAGCATTATGTTAGAGATAAAACCAGTGGAGGAAGGAGGTATTTAGCTTGTCCACCTCTGATAGCATATTTAATCATACTGTTGTAAAAAATTATGATACCAGTTTCTTAAGACTTATGGTATCAATCACTAAGCATAAAGGCCAAGTGAATAATGGGAGAAAACAAATCAATTTTTTAAAAGGTGGTCTACTTGAGGTTTTGCATTTTGTTCAGATATGGGGTAATACATGAATAATGAATTAGAAATAGCATGAATGTTATTGTACTCAGAATTCAAATGTTGAGAAAAGTCAAATGGAAATTATTTACCTTCAGAATGCAAAAAACAGGTATCACGGAAGGATTAAACTGTTTTTCCTAATTTGTCTGCATGTTAGTGGGAGAGGGATGACATTAGGACTTAACCATGGAAATGGAATGAATACAGGGGGAAAGGGTGCATGAATAAGATGAATACTGCATTAAATTGTGCTGGTTCAGAATTTACTGTTTTGGGTCTATACAGCCTGCAGGAGGGAAAGGGAGAAAAGGAATGGCAATTTAACTAAAACAGTATTTTTTTTTTTTTTTACTTCATATAAAGAAATGTGTGTTTTTGTTACTGAGCATTATATCACAACAAAGGATGATGTTCAGGACATTAGGAGAATTATGAAATGATTATGTGCATAGCTGAGATTTACCAGGCACATTGTGGCATTCTCTTCCAGCCTGAGAAACTGTTGTGAGAGGAAGTAATTTATTTTATTTTCTATATGGCTAGCCTCAATGTTTTGATAAATAAACACAAAAATTTTGTCACGTTGCCCTCTTTAAATAATGACAAAAGTGTTAAAAAAGGGGAAAATCCAAATATTTTTTTACCTTTGAAAGATTTTTTTTTAATACAACTATTTTCATTCAAAAAACTCTCTTAGGTGTGTTTCCTTTCCTTTTTGCAAAATAAGGAAAAAATCTTTTTAAAGCAGAGGAATTTTCCCATCAGTTGAAAACTACAAAATATAGCAGTATTATGTGTAAAATTGACAATGACATTAAAAAAAATGCTATGAGTTTGTATTAAATAAAGGAGCCCTTTACAAAGACTGGAAAACAACATTTTGCAGTCAGGTAAGAACTGAGGAGAAAGAATTTAATATTTTTCTCAGTTATGGGGTGTATTCCACAACAGAGGTCTCTGTATAGGGATTTTTCAAGGGCAGATGCAGATGGCACGATTTACTTGTATTTTTAAGAAGAGTACATTGCCTGATATCTTTATAATAGAGACTGACTTTAAATAAGAGCACCAGAAGCTGCAGGTAACCTGTATGAAAGTGCATGCTGCAATGCCTCCTGGGGTTCCAGTTCTCCAAGGCAACCATCCTGGGACTAGCTTGGAGTATGTTGTGGCTCCTGGGCAGCACATAAACCCATGTGTCTTTCCTACAGAAACTAGAACACGGGAACACAGGTAAAGTGGTGCACCTTGGGTTTCATCTTGAGATCCTGGAGCTGCAACGTGACTGAAGAAGCGTGCATTTGCACCTGGAAGGGGGGAAGTGTCCCTGTGCTGATATTTTATGAAGCTGTAAAGAAATATGCATTGATATTTTTCATGTGAAATAGACTAGACTAGATGATTTTAGTTGGAAGTGACCTACAATGATCATGTAGTCCAAATGTCTGACCAACTCAGAGCTGATCAAGTTAAAGCATGTTGTTAAGGGCATTGTCCAAATGCCTCTTAAACACTGACAGGCTTGGGACATCAACCACCTCTGTCAGAAGCCTGTTCCAGTGTTTGACCACCCTCTTGGTAAATAAATGCTTCCTAATGTCCAGTCTAAATCTCCCCTGGTGCAGCTTTGAACCATTGTGCATTAATGAAATAGTACCTTGTCCTTAAGCTTTTAGTTTGATTGGATAGAACTGCTTGTGGAATAAGGCATAGTTTAAGGCTAAGTACTAAGTTCTGGTTGAAATATGTGGAGTGGCATTTACTGGACTTTGCTTGGATTAGGTCTGTCTAGAGTGAGATGACTAGCCAAAGCTCTAGGCTATCTTTTTAGTATTGGAGAGAATTGTTCAATTCCGGAGGACAACTGATTTTGTCCCAAGATAAGACAGATGAATTGTCTTCTGGAGGTGCTTATGTCTCCCTAATAACTCTAAGGGAAAGCTATGATGACTAGCTTAGCACCTAACATTTAAGTACTTAATGTTAAATAGAACAATGCTGGCTTGGAGACTCTACTGTCTTTGACCTGATCTTCAGTAGGAAGATTATAAAAAAAGCCCCTTCATTCTTTGTCAGTTTTGGAAGCTTTGGACAAAACAAGGGGAAATGGGTTTAAACTG